TAATAAATACTTTTTGTATCTGCAGAGAAGCATTTTGCTGAGGATGTGTCCTCCAAACGGAAAACTCAGCCACACTTCACAGTTGTTCTGTAGGTATATATTCAGATAAATGTTACCATTATGATGGCTGAAATAGTGAAAATCAGAATGTATGTAAAGTTTTATTAATTTTCAGCAGTGCAATCAGAATTCAACCAATGGTTACAGCTCCTGTAAATTACAGTGTATGAAATGTGTCACTGACAGACAGAATATGAAGATAGCATGACAGATTCTTTTTAATATTATTAGACTACCTTCCTCAGCTGTTAGTTGCCTAGAGACAGGTTCTTTCAAGAATATTTTTGACCCAATTAATTTCACAGTAGTTTCCCCCAGATTGAGCAATAGGTTTTAATGTCAAGCCTGAAGCTCATTGAAAAACAAAGAAAGAGAATACATAAATTTTCAGCTTCCTTTCATGTCACAGGATAAAATGCCCTCTTGGTCTTTTTGTGTTTTGGTTCACAGGCTGAAGTCAACTTGGATTTATAGAAAATGATGGATTTTCTCTACTGAAAGACTAGCACAGTGCTAAGCCAGTAAATCCAGTATTGCTTTATGTTCTGTGAAGGCTTTATGTGCTGCTGCTAACTGGGAGGTGCTGGTTTGCCAACTGCAGCTGATTGCAGGCAGGTTAACTCATCTGCCAGTGATCAGTGACATACTGATGACAGATTTCAGCAGGCAGGAAGGACTTCCTGGGCAAAGTCCTCAGAGTATGCTTTGCAAAATGAGACAGGGTGTTCTCCTCAGTGCTTACAGTGTGGTTTGTATCTGTATTAAAATTGGTACTGATTAACAAATGCTTTTGTTGGACATAGTCCTTTCTAAAGGGTTTTATCTTTGCTGTGTGCTTTGTTGCTCATGTCACAATAAACATCCTTTGATGATGGCATGACTTAATTATTTGATTATTCAATTATTTAATCTAGAGGGTAACTCTGGAGAATATCTTATTTGGATTTGCAAAGCCCCTAGGTTGTGCCTTCCCATTCACTTTCAGTTGTCAGATACCATCTATAGCTTAGCTAAGGCCTGAACCAATACAGTAGTGAACCACTGGGAAGTGATTTCAGAGCACACTAAGACACACAATGTCCTCAGCAGCGATCCCACTGCCTCCTGAATTTGGTTCTGACATTTATATATTTGAACTGAAATGTATGCTACATCTTTTCCTGCAGTGGTAAGTTCCAAAATCACCTTTCAGAAATATTTGTGGCATCTAAAGCTTGTAAACTATATCCCAGTGTCTCCTACATAGCTGAACATTGCAAAGGTATTTAAATATTGTGATTTAACAGTCAATATTTCAAAGAAAAGTTCCTTTTGCCTGCAGAATAATTTTTCTGCCCATTTTACACATGCTTCCGACAGTTCATTAAAAAGCACAAGTGTCTTAGCATCAGTTTTTTACTGTCTCAGGGTCCTTGAACTTTAGTCTTTGCTTAGTACCTCCTGCTCTTGATCTGATTATTGCAGAAACCACTAGCAGCTGGCAGTGCAGAGTGCACAGGGAGAGGCCAACCTTGTACCACAGAGTTGCAGAAAATTTGTCTTGGTTAGTCATTTTCACACCAGTTTTACCTGACTGTCAATTCCAAGCATGAGCAACATGGAGAAGAACAGTATTGCCCACAAAGGAGAAATTGGTAACTGTGTCACTGCTTCTGGATAAGCCAGAAATGCCAGTCCAGGGCCTGGTAGGAGAAACAGGAGAGAAAATGTCAGTGTGCTGCACTGGTGCTGTGATTCTTCACTCCTGTTGATGACAGGATTGAGGTTTATCTGGATGGCTCAGCCATGGATGCAGCATCTGACCAGGGATTTCAGCTGAGCAGTGTTCACTGGCCAGGAGGGCAGTGCATGGACCTTGCTTTTAAAATGAACCAACCAAAACAACACAACATCCCCAAAACTCCCAAACCAACCAACCAGCATGCTAGATGCAGTTCAGAAGCTGCTCCTGAGAGACACCTTTGTATAGCAAAGGCAGGGAATGTTATCCTGGGCTAGGATTACATCTTCAGGTACGGAGCAGCTATCTCTCCCCTCAAGCAGTTATTGATGGCTGCAATCTTCTGCTTTGCACCAGGTAGTTCAGAAGAGAAACAAAGACAGCTCAGCAATGGAGAAGACTCTTTCCAGCATTGATAGTATTCCCATTTGCTCTTCCATTCCATATTTATCTTAAAATACACATTTTAATAAACTGTGTATTTGTGGACAGGCAAACCTTTACATCTGTGTTCCTACTGACTGCTGAGGGGGTGCATAGTGTTGGAAGGAGAATACAAATTCTTAGTTAAAAAGGAGTTCTTTTTGCTCTCATAGCATGGCTGGAAGCAGCTGATGTCAGGTTAAGAGGGAAGCCTGAGGCAAACTAAGCAGTCACAGAAATAGAATTTGTGTGCCTCTCCTAAGGAGGGTCTTTGATTTTTCAGTTTTCATTAGAAGTCTGTCTGTGATATGTGCTTGGGCATACACAGCTCTCAAAGCAGTGGAGCAAGGACTGGCATTAGCACCTGTATTGTCAAAGTTAGTGCAGTAAGTAATTGAAACAAATATTTGCCAGCAAGAGCAGATGTGACTGGAAAACCTCCCAAATGGCAGTGCTAAAGGCAAAATACACTTCAGATAAATATTGCTACACATTCCACCAAAATGCAGCCACAGCTTTTAATAATATTGTTTGTTTTACAAAGCTGTATACAAGATGGCAAAACAACATATCTCATGGTTGGTGCTAAATCTAGCATCAGTTTCTGAGCTTGCTAGGAGAAATAGAAACCTTAAATAAAAGGTCAAATTTTTAAATGTCCTTTGCATTTAGTGGCCACAGGAGGTCATGGACATCTTTCAGAAGTCTATTATCTTAAGTACCTTCAAATGTACTTAGGAGCTTAATATGATATAAAAATATTATTCTGTTTGCAGGTGTAGCCCTTATCTACCTAATCTGTACCAAATACATAAGTCCAAGAAACTTATTTCACACACCACTGACTTCCCAGGGCATTTTTTGATAACAGTATATGCCATCATAATTTTGTACCTAAATTCTTTGTGTGCATAGTTTACTGAAGACTATTTTTAGGGCTTAAATTTTCTACTTTTCTAACTAAGGAAATATTTCACTATTGAGATATATTTGCTACTATAGTTAGGACATGTTTTGTCCATCAGTGACTTCCAACCAAGCTTTCAGTTATCAGATCCCTCCCTGTGGCCAGAACTGCTAAGTGAGTATCTGGTACACCAGCTGGGTTAGTGCAACCATCTGCTCTGCTGCTTTAAGCTTTTTCATCTGGAAGACAGACAAGAAATGGCAAAGAATAGCATAATTCTTCCATGGACATCTCACTGCCCTAAATATAGTGAGTTTCATAATAAAGGGCCCCATAAAATAGCTTTAGGTCTGAACAGGTGAGAAATGACTCTGCCTCAAAGGGCTTAACTTCAGGAAACAGTAAAAGGAATTTAAATACCTAACAGAATTGGAAAATAGCAGCTCCCAAACCATAACAACCACCATTCCTCCCTCCAGTTTGCTTTTAAGAATCCAGTAGCAAAAGGCTCAGAATCTGATGTCAGAACTAAGAGCTGAAGCAGCAAACTGTGCTGCCACCTCATGTAAACACATTTCCTGTAAGCTGTGTTGATTGCATTCCTTGTGTCAGCCCAGGATGACTCTGGCTGACCACTCCACAGGCCTGAGAGCACCAGGCAGGCAGCTCCACACGAAGTGATCTTGCTGGTGCTGCCTGGAGAGGTTTGGAGCAAAGCTGTCCTCTTGGCAGTCAGTAAGGGTGACTGAAGGGACAGGGAGCTGAGGAATTCTTTGAGGGAGGGACTGTGAACAATTACAGCTGGGGACAATGTGCAAACAAAAAATAACTGATGCCAGTGCACAGCTTAGAGAAGAGTATATTGGATACCTGATGCTGCAACATCTGCAATAGGCCTCTTGGTGACATTAGCCATGAATCCAACAATGGAGAAGATGACAAAGCCAGCAAACATGCTTGTGCATGAGTTTATGCAGCACACTATGATGGAGTCCCTGAAATAAAGGTAAGGTGCTTTAAGCAGCAGGTAAAGCAAAGCTACTGTTCATCAGTATATTCCCTTTCCTCCTGTGAAAATATTTCATGATTTAGGAGCACACAGTTTGGGCTCCATTTCATGCTGGGCAATTCATACTGTCTCTCCTATTAATGTAAATGCAGTTATACATCTCATCCCTAGTCAGGTATAAATAACACTTAATATTCAGATCTGAGCCTACACTTTATTTCAATGATCTGGTACAGAGGAAGCCAGAATCCAGCTCAGCTGAGACAGGCAAGTGCCACTGCAGCATGTGCAGGCATCTGCTTACCTGTAAACATTATTGTGGAAAGGGTTGTAACTTCCAAGGGCAATCAGTGAACCAAGACCCAACCCATAGGAGAAGAAAATCTGTGTGGCAGCATCCAGCCAAACCTGATTGCAGGAAATAAAGGTTTTTAAAATCTCTTTCTGCACTTGAGGAGCAGGTCAGAGGTCTGAAAGTGGAACAGTTTGTAGTGAAACTTTGGTTTACAAGGAGTGAATATTTACCTCAGAGTCTGAAAGCTTACTGAAGTTGGGAGTTATATAGAATAAAATGCCTTCCTTTGCTCCAGGCAGTGTTACACCACGGAAGAACAAGATAAGCAGCATGACATAGGGATAAGTAGCAGAGAAATATACCACCTGATGTGAAGAAACAAGACATGGTAAGTGTGGAAGGAAGAATGATCTGTGCTTGATAACACATCAGAAATACATCTGCTCCCTGAAAATACTGCAGCAGCAACTGAGGTTGACTCCTAAAACTGAAGCATTTATCCATGCAAAAGCTTGGTGTGGGAAGGGGAGTGCCTGCTTTAGGATTCCCTAAACACCGTGTCTACAGGCAGGTGGCTGTTGTCTGTTGTCCTGAAGGTGGGATATAGTGGACCAGGATATTTTCACACCAGGAGCTCACACTTCTCTCTCCTTTCTTTTTTTTTTTTTTTCATTCATCAAGGGGAAGTCCCAAAAGCACAAAGTTCATGGCACCTGAACCCTGCTCAGAGAACAGCATCTGTCAGTTCATTTCTCCACCTCTCAGGCAGCTGCTCTGGTATTTTTCATACTCTCATCTGTGTTAGTATACACACAGGATACTCCTGCCTTTTCAAAGGCCCTGTAAAAAGCCCACTCTGAAGTCAGACTCCAAACAAAGTCAGCCCTCTTTTTGCCACCTTCTTTGCAGATAGGATAAATAAAATGGTTGGTCTGAGCTCATCTAGTCCTCTGCACCAGACCTGAGGTCTTCTAACCCAACCCTTCAGTTGCCACCAAGCCTTAAGGCTGTGGGTTTTCTGTTCACTGAGATTTCTTCCTGCAATTTTAGGGAGAGGGAAAAGCCAGATGCTGCTGCCCTTTCACTCCTGGAGAAATGTCTGTCAATAGTATAATTGCCCGACCCCAAGACCCAGTGTGCAGGCAGGCTGGTGGCCAGAACCTCCTATGGCTCTCATCCAGCATGAGGAAAGAGGGAGTAGCTCTTCCATCCAGTGCAGCTCCAGCACTTACACATCCAAGTCCAGCAAGAGCTGTGCAATAAATGCTTCTTGCTGAAGCCAAAACACTGCATCCTCACACTATTGCTATCCAAACTAGGATATTCATCTCAGGAACAAGCAGATGATTTTAGCCAATTTTATACCCAACAAAGCTAAGAAGTCTGTAAGTGAACACAGCAGCTAAGACTGTGGTCAGACCTAGCTACAGAGGGGCTTTTTCAAAAAACATGGGGCTGTAGCAATTCCACATGACAGAAATTAAATGCTTTGCAGAGCTATTCCAGCAAAACTCTCCCCAGTGCCTCTTGCCTCAAGAATTTTCAGAATATTTGAGTAAAATGGGCATTTTTAATTGAAAGGTATTTACAGTACTTTTTAATCTTACCTTTCCAGTCCAGCCTACCCCCTTCCAGATACAAAAATACACCAGAATCCAGGCAATTGCTAGAGTAATCGCTAGTGGCCATCGGATTTGCCCTGGTTTTTCCAATCCATCAGTCATTTGGTGCATGTTGCGTCTGGAATAAGCCAACAGAATGGAGTATTTGGCAAGGAAGTCAGAAGACAGTGTATCAGCAAGAATGGGCTGATCCTTGCACATGCACAGGGATGAGACAGAGAAAAATGATCAGCTTACTCCCAGAATTCCATCACGGCACTTGTCATGTTGGTGGTGTTTGCTAAGCTATAGTTGGAGAAGCAGTGGTCGGTGTTCCATGGGTTCTCACAGTGTTTCCAAGGAAGAGTCTGTTTGAGAAAGAAAATTCTAAAGTCAAACTCTTTTGAAGGAAGCATTACCTCTTAACTGGAAATGACAGTTGAGTGGAGAACTAACACACCTTGAGCTCTGCAGCTCACTGCTCTCCCTGGGGTGTGTGTCTGACACAGAAGTTATTTGACTTCATATCAGTTGTGTGAGTCAGATATGAAGACATTTCTTCCTTTCCTTAACATATCAGCCCAAATGCTCAGGAGTCTGGTAGCCTCTCAGCATGAGACAATATTGAAACAGCAGAAAAGACCTCCTGGAGGTCCTGTTACCTCTTGTTGCTCAAGAGGTAATAAAAGTGTGGTGATTATTGATCAGAGATTTTAATTTTCTCCTCAGGTCAGAGGATAATTAGGGAAAAGTAAACTTTCTATTTTCTGCAGCATTTTCTGCATGTGTCTGTTGTGTCTCTCAGAGGTTCTGAGAAGCAGAGCCTGTTTCCATATGATATCTATCAGAATCAACCTCATTTATGTACAACTTAGATATTCTTGCGATGGCAATTCTTGGAAAAATCCTCTTCCAGAAATATTGTCTCAGTGTATTGCATGCTTTATATACAAGGATGAGAGGCTTCAAGGGAATCAGAAGTCAATATTCATTTAACATGGGCCAGCACACCACTTCCAGACTCTGACTGAACTTTCACATCAATAACAATTCTGAGGATAACAAAGAAGAAATGGTCATGTCACTCCCAGACAGTAATTAATGCAAATTTGGTCAAGGAACAATCCTTTAAAGCCAAGAACAAGCAAGCATGAACAAATTCTGTAGAAGAGACAATTGAACAGTGATGCATTAATTATTGAGACTTATGTAAGAATCCTTCCTCAGATGGCCAAACCCCACAAATCAGACCAGACTTACTCAGCTGATGAATCACCCTTGAGGGGAAAAAAAAGGCAGCTAAAAATAAAGTAAACAGGAAAGAAAACAAAGCAAAAATAACAATGAATGGAAGTTCAGAGCTAATCAAATCATAGACCTTCCATTCCATGGGGATTTCTTGCATAAACCCCTCCACTATTAAAACATTGCAATGCTACTATTTCCCAAAGAGCTAATGTTTGGGTGGCTGCTATGGAACAGAACAAATCACTAATTATACACTAGAAGTTTTCTTGGGGAAATGACTGGCCTAGAGGCACAAAGGGGTCCTGGTGATCTTGTTAGCAGTGCCAGGACAAGAAGTCCAAAGCCTGCGCATGGCTTACAGCTGCCTGGCAGGTAAGCAAAGGAGAATGCAGATATGCTGGTGATTAAATGGCACAGACAGGTAATGGGTGAAACTAAAAGGGTACAGATGAAAGAGCTGTGGCTTTGCAGATTAAGATGAGGAAATGTAAACAAATTGGCAAGAAAGAGCTGCCTGTGGCTCCACAATAACCTGTTATTATGTTTCTCCACTGACATTCTTGAAATAGAGTATTTTCCTCAGTTTTCTGTGATAGGTTTCTTGTGGAGAAAAAAATGTAAAAGGAATTTTTACAAAATAGTTTTCCTATAGTAAGGAATGGCTTATCCTATAGGTTTCTATGCATTTTGTGTTAAGCTCAGACCTTCACAGTGAGAGAGATTAATGAGCTCTCTATATATCCCTTTGCTTTACATTCAGCAAACAATTCCAACTCCTTCTGACACACACACTTACAGTTGTAAAGGAATTATACAGGTAGTATATGGCCCACGAAATAATCACAATGTAGTAAATATTTAGCCAAAAGGAAAGGACTGCAGCAGCTAGTCCCACACCTGGAAAGAAAACAGAAAGGAACAAAAGAAGGAAACTTTCAGTAATGTTGGTACAAGTATGAAAAGTTGCAGTTCAGGACAAATACGACATATGGAGCAGATACCATTTACCAATCTTTGTAGAAGCTCAATTAAAATTTTAGCAGTACCATTACAACATGGTTGTTCGTTGGGTGATGGTTCAGTCATCCATAAAGGTCATGTTGGCATCCAGTTCTCTGTGTGGTGCAGTAAGCAGTCATGCCTGCTGCTGCTGAGATTTTACTGGCTTTTTGTACTTCCAGGAAAAAGAGCTAAATCAGCTCATTCTCTGAAACATCAGTCCCACCGGAACTCATGGCAGATGCACACCAAGTGAGGAAGCATTCCAAGACCAGCCATTTAGAACACTGATCACAGTGCTTGATGCTCAGTACAATGCTGTTATGTCATGTCAGACTAAAGAGATATCAGGGCTCCACAATGAGGATGCCTTGTCTTCTTCTCCACATGGAGACTTCAGGGGTATTTCAAAATATTCACTCTGGTGACAGTTGCCACATGACATTAAACAGGAGGACGTGCTCACAATAATCAGTATGATGCAAAGCAAGGTCTATGCTAACCCCTACCAACAGCAGTGACTTGAGCAAAACACTTCTCTGTGAGAAACAATTTCATCTCCCTGCGTTTTCCCAATACTGAAGTTCCCAGAACAAAATTCAATCTAAACAAACTTCGAGCTCACCCTGTGCTAATTGTCAGTCCTGCTGTGTGAAGTAATTTATAACTCAATGTGCAACTTGCTCCTCTGCTGGTCCAGAAGTCAGCACAGGAGCCCTGAGTTGTCAAAGGATTTGGGATTAGAAGGGTAAAAAGCAAGTTTGTGAGGTTTGTAGGTCCATGCAGAATCTATATTAAAACCCTGAGGTTCTAGCAATCAATCAAACTTCAAACTAGCTAAAACCCTAAGTATGGAGTGAGCTTTTGTTGAGCAATTCAGCATGAAATTGCCATCTTTGAAGTGTTTGGCTTTAGCATTTCAATAAAGAACAACAGGAGATACAAACCTCTGTGACCTCAGACAAATATACTGAAGTTTACCAAATGAATAGTTCCATACATGCTCAGACAACTTCTGGATCTAATATGTTATTTTTAACAGTGTTTATATGTTCCTGCAAAAAAAAAGACCTAAAAGTTTTTGAAGCTCAAAAATAGGTTTGTTGAGATTCTAATGCCCAACTCTGGCTATTTTAAATGGGGAATGAATAATATCCTGTTTTGGGTTTCAAACTATTCAGCTACACCTCAGAAAATTAGTGTTTTCTAAAGAAAATTATGGTTTCAGTAAAAATATGAAGGCATCAAGAAACATCCTTGCCCTGTCACTTTGTGCAACTTCTGCAACTTGGAAACAAATGAAAATTCAAATTCATACAGTACCTTTGAACATTGGAGCAAGTTTCCACACTCCAAGGCCTCCTATAGATGTATATTGACCAAGGGAACACTCCAAAAGAAACAGTGGCACTCCAGCAAAAATTAAAGTAAGAAAATAGGGAATCAGGAATGCACCTAAAAAGAATTAAGAAAAGTCCATTATGTTGGGAAAAAACAAAACTGGGTTTTCACTGTTTCCATCTCTGTTATATATGGACAGAAACTCACAGGATTTCTTCTCTTAAATGCAGCTTTTCAACAAAGTTAGTGGAAAGCACATGTACATTTCTGAACCACTACCCCAAGAGGTGAAAATCAGGGGAAAAACATAGCTCCTCATCATGTAAATATTTTCTGTTCGAGTAAAAAGCTAAAATCCAAAATAGCATGTACTTTGTTGTCTTCATCTATCAGAGATAGCATAAAGGCTTTAACCAGCACTGGCTCCTTTCCAGCTGCAGTCAGTCTTTTATGGGGAGCTCAGAGTCAGTATTATGAGCCCTGTGCAACCCTCTCAAAAACTCAGTCCAAAAAGGAGGGATCTGAAGGGTTGGTTGGAGGCCAATATGCTTTAGTTCTGCTCTAATACTTTATGGTCTTTTAAGTGCAACTGCCAACTAAAAGTTAGAATAAGCTTCAGAGCAGACCTCAAAGCAGAGCACCACACTCCAAAATGGCTCCAATCCTCTTGGACAAGTGTAAAGCAAAAAAACCCTCCCTATTAAACCAAAACAGATGAAAATTTGTATAGATTGCCTGAAGAACAGAAGGTTGTGTGGAGACCTCATAGCAACCTTCTAGCTGGGGTGCTACAGGGAAGCTGGAGAGGGACTCTTGGTTAGGACCTGCAGTGACAGGACAAGGAGTAATGGGGATAAATGGAAAGAGGGGAAATTTAGATTAGATATTAGGAAGAACTTTCTCCTTGTGAGGGTGGTAAGACACTGGCGTAGGTTGCCCAGGGAGGCTGTGACTGCCTTAATCCTGGCAGTGTTCAAAGCCAGGCTGGATAAAGCCTTGAGCACCTGTTATAGTGGGAGGTGTCCCTGCCCAGAGCAGGGGTTGGGACTGGATGATCTTTAAGGTCCATTCCAACCCCTTAACATACTATGAAACTATGAAAAACCTATTAAAACAAAGTTCTGGTTTACTGATAATTATATGGTGAATCCCAATACACAAATATATCAAGAGTTGCAATAATGAAGTAGCAAACATACCTCCACCATTCTTGCCACAAAGGTATGGAAATCGCCACACATTCCCTAAGCCAATGGCATAACCTACACAGGACATAAGAAAGTCAAATTTTCCTTTCCAAGTGTCTCGGTCTGGAAGATCTGCCTTCTTCTTCTGCACTTTTACTACCAAGGTTTTAGGCTTGTCATTGGTGATTGAAGCATCGACTTCCGTGGAGATCTGTCCATCGGCCACTTTGGTTCCGTTGGTGGCCATGTCTCTGGGTTTCGCTGGCGAGGCTCTGGCAGCAGCCGGGCGGGAGATTTCAGCACCAGTCCACGTGGACAGCAGCTTTGCGGCTCGTGGTGACCCACCC